TGCAGGTTCTCCAGAAGAGTAGTCAGTGCTCTTAACCATTGAACCATCTCTCCAACCTCCTGATTCTCTTATTATTAAGCAATATTCTGAATATTGCTGAATGGGGATGAATGTCTCAGTTTTTTTGTATTGTATTAGATTATTTTTTCCTATTCACGTGTGGGTTTTTGTTTGTTTTTTTATTTTTCCAGACGGGGTTTCTCTGTAGCTTTGGAGCCTGTCCTAGAACTCACTGTGTAGACCAGGCTGGTCTCAGACTCATAGAGATCCACCGCCTCTGCCTCCTGAGTGCTGGAATTAAAGGCACGCGCCACCACTGCCCAGTTTGTTTTGCTTCTTGGAGATAGGTTTTCAAATGCTGGCATTACAGGCCTGCACCCCCACTCCCAGTTATGAGGTACTGGAAGTCAGAACAGGGCTTTGCTCATGCTAGGCAAGCCCTCTACCAACTGAGCTATACCAGCAGCTCCTCGTTTGTGTATCGATTGCTTCTCTCGTTGTTACAACCAAATAGCGACTTAAGGCAAAGGAGGGCGTATTTGGCTTATGATTTGAGTGTACGTACATTCCATCATGGCAGAGAAGGCATGGCAGCAGCATTCTGTGGCTGCTTGTACACATCTGGTGAGATCAGGAATCAGTGTGTAGACAAGGGGAGGGGCCAGGCTATAAAACCTCAATGTCTGCCCCCAGTGAGCCACTTTCGACAGTGAGGCTTCATTTCCTAATCTTTCTATAACCTTCTCAACAGTGGCACCAAGCCAGGTGTCATGGTGCATGTCTTTTATACCAGAACTTGGAAGTCAAGTGCAGGCAAATATATGTAAATTTGAGGTCGGCCTAGTCTACATTGTGAGCTCTAGACCAGCAAGAATAACATGTATGCCAAAATAGTACCATCACTGGTCACCAATTATTCTAACACATGAGCCTAGGAGCACATTTCATATTCAAATCACAGAAAGATACTTTTCTTATTATTATATGTGTATGAGCATTTGCCTACATGCATGCATGTATGTACATACGCATGTGTGTGAAATGCCTGCAGAAACCAGAAAAGGACACTAGGTCCCCTGGAACTGGAATTACAAGTGATTGTGAGCCACCATGTTGGAGCTGGGAGTCAAACCCTCATCCTCTGCAAGAGCAGCAAGTGCTTTTAACCACTGGGCCATCTCTCCAGCCACCGTTTCTCAGTTCTTAAATGGCCCTTGAGATGAATAGACAGAATAGCTAGTGGAGAGACAGAGTGTGGGAAATAAACCCAAAATGACCCGTAGAGGTCCTTGTAGGGAATAGGGAAGGACCTAGTTCTTATGCAAAGTGGACCTGGTCTCCCACTGTCATGCTTGTATGACAGAGCTTTATCCACTGAGCCACCTCCCCAGCCTCCAGAGGGAGCCTTGAAGGGAGGATTGGGTGCTGGAGAGGAAAGGGAAGTGAAATAAAGGCATGGAGGGGGAGGGGCATGCCAGTCAAGGGCCACTGCTGAGTGCCTGTGGGAACCAGTCCTGCTGGGACCTTAGGGGAAAGAACAGAATGCCATAAACGATTTCCAGATGATCTTAGCATCTTTAGAGAATGCACTGGTAAAGGCAAGAGTGGCAAGGGCAGATCTGTCAGAAGGCATTGTCTTGGCTTGAAGGTGACTACAGTGACTTGCAGTATCAGTGTGGTTGCTGCAGCTAAGCATCCTCAGCTCCAGGGGAGGGGATCCAGATCCTCCCGACTCCAAGGACATTGCTTCTGATTTCTGTTACCATGGCAGATATGCTGCTTCTGCCTGGATTGGTTGCTGGGGAGATATTAACAGCACCGAGTGACTGATTCCCACAATGATAACTGGTTGTCATGGTGCTAGGAAGTACGTTAATAAAAATCTGCCAGGTTCAAGTTTCTCATCTAGCTCTGCACAGAAAGCCAGGAAGGATGAGAGAGAGAGGGTCAGGGCATGAGAATCAAGGAAGACATGCTGAGTCACTGTGCCTCCAGACCTGCTGGGATCAATACTGCTATTAGCATCCTCTGTGGAGTGGGAGAGCAGAGGCCCAGCATGAATGCAGAAAATCCAAGTCTCATTTTTCTCCCACTTTAAAGCTTTTTTGAACTGTTTCCTCCTCTAAGACGTCTCTACCCTTATTACCCTCTACAAGTCAGTCATATGGTAACCTGCTACTAAATTTTTTTTAAAAAGGAGTTTTCATGAAAGCTTTATTTGGGCCTAAGAGGCAGAGAGCAGGCCCTAGCCAGAACCTCTGAAGTGAAATCCGTAAGATCAGTGCAGAAAGCCTGGGGGGCAGGACCGTCTGAGGAGAGGGCAAGGGAACAGTGCAGCTGCTTGGTACAGATGGAGACCAGGGTTCTCAGTGCTTCCTCCTTCTAGACATCGTTCCCACAAGAATCCAGGTCGAGGAAGGACCCATGCACCGTAGCCTGTTCTCACCTGCTGCCTGCAGTCACGTGTTACAACACTTTCTCTTTTCTCCTTGGAGAAGAAAGTTGACCCCTATGAGCTCCAGGTCCAGTAGGCTTCAGATCCTACCGGTCTAGGAACATTATTCTCAGCAGTTAAATACCGAAGCAAACAGAAAAAAGAAGTGCCTATGCTTATACACAGCTCTCTCTATTTATTTAGATAGAGACTTTCTCTAGGTTGCCCTGGCAGGCCCGGAACTTGCTATTGCTGACTAAGTTTGTCTCAGACTCACAGAGATCACCTACCTCTGCTTCCTGAGTTCTGTGATTAAAGGCGTGTGCCACCACACATGTCCTCTCTTTCCTTCTTTCTTTCTTTCTTTCTTTTTCTTTCAGGGGGTTCAAGACAGGGTTTCTCTATGTAGCCTTGGCTGTCCTGGAACTCACTCTGTAGAGTGGCTGGCCTCAAACTCACAGAGATCCACCTGCCTCCATCTCCCAGTGCTGGGATTAAAGGCATGTACCACCACTGCCCAGCTCACACACACCATTTAAAATTTTTTATTTAACTTTTTATTTTGTGTGCATTGGTGTCAGAGGTGTCAGATTCCCTGGAACTGGAGTTATAGACAGCGGCAGACTGCCATGTGGGTGCTGGGAATTGAACCCGGGTTCTCTAGAAGAGCAGTCAGTGCTCTTAATCTCTGAGCCATCTCTCCAGCCCCACACACATGTCATTCTATATTGAATCCTGGGAAAACTGGAGTCTTAAAAGGGAGAAGAGCACACCCACTAGTGTTCAGACTAACAGGCACCATTTTCCTGTGTGTTATGCCTCTCAAAACAGGCTCACAGTCATGTGCTCCTATGCCTAAAGTTGTTTTATCCTTAATTACATTTATTTATTTACTATGTGTGGGCACATGTGTGTATAGGTCAGAGGACAGTTTGCCAGAGGCAATTTTGTCCTTCCACCATGTGGGTAAGAGCATCTCCTCAGTTGTCCCTATTACTTATTTTACCTCAGAGAAGGAGGAAAGCCTTATGCATTTGGTAATTTTCAGGGACTTCCTGGAGTTTCTAAGTTGTTTATTCCTTGAATTTTAAGAAGCCCTTCTTTAAAAGTCTCTGAGTCTTGTGAACATGGTGGTACATGCCTTTAATTCCAGTACTCAGGAGGCAGAAGCAGGCAGAGCTCTGAGTTCTAGGCCAGCCCAGTCTACATAATGAGTTTCAAGACTCAGTCTCAAAAAAAATTTAAAAATTAAACAAACAAATAAAAAACCCAACAATTGAACTCTCTGAGTCTTAACAAGCTTCCTTTACTATTTCCTGAGTCTATAAGGTTTCCATCCAGGGTGGAACATACCAATTCATTGTTTCATAACACCCCTCAAGTTGCTTCTGTAAATCATTTAAAAATAAAATGTCCAGCACATAATCACTGATAGCAAGAAAAACGTTCAGGTCCTGGAATGGTAAAACAGCCTGTGCCAGATCATCCATTCCAGACAAACACAAAGAAAGCTGTGGGAAGGCTGGGATCCAAGCAGAAGGAAGAAGAAGGAATGGGGGCATAGCCTTGCAGAAGAAAAGCCCCACCAGGTGAGTTCCACATTCAACAGGCTTGTCCCCATCAAGACCCTTTACCATTTACTGCAGAGGGAAGCAGACTTGGGCAGGAAGGGATGATGTCACTGGTGGAAATTCTGAGTACTGGGGTGCCAAGGCAACCAGAAATTGAAGGAGAAATCTGGGGAATGTGTGATCGACCGAGAGAGAACCCAAAACCTGCACATAAATCCCCTCAGATTCTTAGCACATGGCCAGGGCGAAGGTTCCGAAAGGGAAAGTCAAATACCGGAACGAAGATTTCCACAGCTGCCGTGGTCCTAGAGGGGCAAAGCCTACAGTTCAGAACCCACAAAATTAGAGGGCCTACCTTTCACTGAATCCCAAAAGAACCTCAGCAGTAATTACTAAAGAAAGATAATGTAACCCAGAGAATCTGCAATGCACCAACCCAAAACATCCAGCCTACAACAAAACTCGTACTGCAGTTCAGAAACGAGGCCCGCTCGCTGTCCTATTAGTTATTGAAATAGATCTGTTTTAAAGAGTACCGTGGTTTGGATTAGGGTAACCGCAGTGGCTGTGGGAAAATGAGGATGGGCGTTTGTGTTTTGCGGGTTGAACCTGTATGGTTGCTAAAAGATTTTAAATGGATGGAGATAAAACGAGTGTCAAAGGCAATACACATTCATCACACTGAGTGCTCGCTCTTCCCTCGCAGTTCAGGCTTAACTATCACAACAAAACCCATCAAGTTGCTTCCGTTCCCACCCCCATTTTATAAGCAATCAGTTTCTCCCTCCTTGGGGACTGAGAATGGAGGCTAATCTCGAAAAGAGTGTAGAGGGTGAGGGCAGAAACTCCAAAAGGTCGAACGGAGAGAGGCCATAAGAAGGGGGGAGGGCCGATTTGGGTAGGCGGCTGCAGGGGCAGGGCCCGCTTGTGATTGGTCGAGTTGCAGAGGAGGGCTCTGCAGATCCTTAGTCACGTGGCTAGCGGGTGGAAAGTGCCATCCTGGCCCAGCCCCCTGGTTGTTGTTGCTACTTCCACTGCGACCTAGCCCGGGGAAGCGAGTGCTCCGATCCAAGGAAGATGCAGAGCTCGTTGAGGCCCGTGGGCTCCGGGGGGCTTCAGCTCCTGGTCTGCTTCCTTCTGCTTTACAGTCGTCCAGGAAGCTGCAGCGACATTCGTGCCCACGGTCAGGAGGAAACCCGGGGGGTGCGGGCAGGACCAGAGAGTAATTCTGAGAGCAGAGGACCTGGCCTTCAAGGCTGAAACAGTTTGGGATGACAGAGGAGAGAAATGCAGAGTCTCAGAGACAGGTGTAGTCCTGGGGCTTGTTGTACAGGGTCTAGACATAGAAGGAGCGGACCCAGGGAAAGGTTGGGGGTCCGGAAAGAGCGGGGAAGACAGATGAGCCAAGGGTGGCCGCGGAATACGCCAGACGCTTCTGAAGGGCCAGAAAAGAGATGGACAGGGCTTTGTATGGGAACGGGAGTGCTTATATTTGGGTACCTGGTCCGGGACCAAGGGAATAGGTGGGTGGGGCTGAGAGACAAATCAAGGTTCAGTCTTTGGCACTCAGGGTCCAGGGGCTGGGATCCGGTTTCAGGACATGGGGGTTGTGGAGTGGGGGGAGCTAGGTTGGGGTGAAGCAGGTTGGAGGGGAAGAAGACCATTCTCCTTCCTCCGACTCTGTTCTGCGTCATCCTGGATGAACCTAGCGCCCACTCACTTCGCTACAGTCAGGGACAGACTGCGCAGTCTCAGAATACCTGCGCAGACCCTGCATATAGTCCTAGTCTGACGTCCAGTCTCCCGGCGGGATTCTTGGGTTTGGAAGCCAATGCAGGGCATTCGCAAAGCACTGTGGGAGGATGCCTGGTGTCAGACGAAGGGAGGACTGAAGCGAGGTGGGGATGGGGTGGAGTGGAGGTGGGGTGTGAAGTACAGAAACCGAGGTGTCTCTTCCTTACCGCCCACGGTGACCGCTCCTGGCCCTCAGCACCACGGATAGCTCCAGCCATTCAATGGATTCTGGAGTAGCTCCACGCACCCAACCCACACCTCCAGCACCGCTGTCTCAGACAACACCGCCTCTCCTCCGAAAGCCCTCTTTTTCACCAGGGCGCTAGAAGTTCCACTTCTTTCTGGGGTCGGGAAATTGTACTGGGCATCCATCTGAGTGGAGTCAGGGGGAGGCTGAGTCAGAACTGAGAATTCAAGACCAGCCTGAGATGCAAAACAAGACTCTGTTTTTCTTTTTTCTCCCTCCCTCCCTCCCTCCCTCCCTCCCTCCCTCCCTCCCTCCCTTCCTCCCTCCCTCCCTCCCTCCCTCCCTCCCTTAGTTCCTTCTTTCCTCCCTTTCTTCTTCCCTTTCTTCCTTTTTAATTAGCTGGAGTGGGGTAGGGAAATTTTTCTGTAGCCCTATTCACTTATCTGGAACAAGAACCATGTATTTCTTCAACCCTGCCCTACTCTTACACAGTTGGGTAAACTGTGGGTTTTAGGAAAAAGAGCCCATCCTTCATATCTTTTTTTTTCCATCCTTCATATCTTACACACAAGAATACAGTCAGCCCTCCCTGCCCACACATTCTTCATCTTGGAATTCTGCATCCTTAATTCTACCAACTGTGGGTAGAAGGCAGGCTTTCCCCCATTGTCATTATTCTCTAAACAATGCATAAAACAACTATTTGCTTTATATATTAGCTTTCACAAATAATTGGAAGATCACTTAAAATATACAAGAAACCGGCAGGAGGACTCAGCAGGTAGACATTTGCCACCAAGACTGACAACCTGAGTTGACTCATTAGGGCCCACATGGAAGAAGGGGAGAGCTGACTTTGGAAGTCGTCCTCCGATCTCCAAACACGTGCTGTGACACATGCTTTTGTGTGTACATGTGTGTGTGTGTGTGTGTGAGTGCACACACACAAAATAAAATTGAAAATGAAGTGTACAGGAGGATATTTGTAAGTAACATACATGTAATAGACCATTTTGAATTAGGGTCTTGAAGATCTACAGATTTTGGTATAGAGGGTAGTCTGAGACCCAACCCCCTGAAGACACTGGTGGAAATGGTACTTTCTCTTTCTAAGAATTTCGGTTCTTTCCCCTAATCTCTCCACCTCGAGAGTTTTCCCTAAGGTGCATCTTACCCAGGCTCCACCTGCCCATCCGACTGCCCACCACAAGTGGGTAGCTCTCCAAGATTCTTTGCACCCGCTCCTTCACAGGGTGTTTCTCGCCTGTGTGCTTGGTTCTTGCCTAGATGTTGATACCAAGAGTGAATGAAAGCCAAGTGTGGCAGTGAAAGCCTTTAATTCCAGGACTCTGGAGGCAGAGGCAGATAGATCTCTATAGTTCCAGGCCAGCGTGGTCTATGTAGTGAGTTCCAGGACAGCCAGAGATATTTAATAAAGCCCTATTCCTTCCTTCCTTCCTTTTTTGTGTTTTTGAGACAGGGTTTCTCTGTGTAGCTTTGGAGCCTGTCTCAGAACTCACTCTGTAGACCACTCAAACTCACAGAGATTTACCTGCCTCTGCCTCCTGAGTGCAGGGATTAAAGGCATGTGCCACTACTGTCCAACAATAAAGTCCTATTTTAAAAAATAACAAAAAGTGAATGGAATTTAGGGGATGGTGATAATGAAGGAGAAAATGACAAAGGGACTCCAATATGGGAAAGGACCTGGCTTTGTGCTAGCAATGGGGAAAATGTAGCGGCAATGTAGCGGCTTCTCTTCAGCTGGGATTTGGAGGGATTCTTGGACCAAGGTATTTGCTGACAGCACTATTTTACCTTTAGATGGTCAGGGCCAAGTAGCATCAGAATACTTATGGCCATTCCAAGGATTTGCCGCTTCAGTCTTCCGGTACTTACAATTTCTACTCCGCCAGATTGTATCAGAAGGTAAGTAAAAGCCAGAGAACAGAGATGGGGGCCCAGTCAGATATGTGGGGAATACTGAGAGACTCCTGACCAGACTATTGCTTGCACGTCTCTTATCACCTTAGCATGGAAGGGAGCAAGAAAAGAGTGAGGTAGACTCTAGAAGAATAGGCTGTTAGCACTCAAACACCCTGAAAGGGGACAGCATACAAGTCTTTGGGACTAGTCTCAACATATAGCACTATCTGAATTTTTCTAGAGCCAGGATTCCTTAAGGGTTCAGCCAAGAGACCAGTGGCTCATGTCAACCTCTGAGTAGGAAGCAGGAAACTATGTAATACAGGAGAGACATAGGGGAGTCATTAGGGATGGGTGGCTGAAACTTTTATGGAGTTTCACATGTGGGCAAGTAGGATAGAAAATATGCCTTGAGTCCACATCACTATACCCAGTTCTTCAAAAAGTTACTAAACCAGCAACACATGTATCATCATCAGGGAATCTTCAAAAATACTAAATCCTAGGTCTGGAGAGGTGGCTCAGTGGGAAAAGGTTTGCCATCCAATTGTGACAACTGGAGTTTGAATCCCCGACACCCACATAGAAGCCAGGAGCAGTGAATGGCATGTGTCTGTAAAACCTGTACTGAGGGAGGGGACATAGAGACAGGGAGATCCCTGGAGCTTACCTGTCTATTCTAATAAATTCAATGAAAGACTATCTCAAAAGTAAAGTGGAAAACCAATGGGATGGCTCAGTGAGTCACTGGCTACCCAGCTGGATGAACCGAGTTCAAATCTCAGAACCCATGTAAAGGCGAAGGGACAGAACCAACACCATAATTTTTACTCTGATCTCCAACAGCCACATGCACCTCCAACACGCATGTGGACACACACACACATACACACACACACCACACATACACACACACACACCACACATAACATACACACACACACCACACATACACACACACACACACCACACATACACACACACTCACAATGATGATGATGATGTGGATAATGATAAAAATGGAATGAAAAGTCAAAGAAAAAACACAGTCTCAAAAACAAATAATGTGGGAAGTGATTGAGGAAGATACTGTGGTCTACACATGTCTGCATGCACACACACACACAGGCACATGCACAGACACACAAAGTAAAATACTAAATGCAATTCCTGAACCTCACCCCAACCTACTAAATCTGGATATGAAAAACAGCACTCTTGAACTAACAAGCCTTTCAAGATACTCAGGATGTGCCGGGCAATAGTGGCACATGCTTTTAATCCCAGCACTTGGGAGGCAGAGGCAAGTGGATCTCTATGAGTTCAAGGTCAACCTGGCCTACAGAGTGAGTTCCAGGACAGGCTCCAAACCAAAGCTACTGAGAAACAATATCTTAAGAAAAACTAACTAAATAAATAAATATACTCCGAATGCACACCAAAGTCTGCATAACTGCATTGGAGGATTTTGTTGTTGTTTGGTTTGGTTTGGCTTGGCTTTCCAGGTATGTGTTTCCATCGTCAGCTTCACTTAGTCCTACAGTGTCCACAAGTGAATTAGTAGATTCATTAGCTTTGATGTGCCAGGACTGTGCTCAGCAACCCTTCCACACATCACTTAACCTTCTCTATTAAATGTAATCTTATTTATACTGGAGAGAGTGGTCACTTTGGCCCCGGTGTCAATTCACCCCCTCCTTTCACCCGACAGACCTGTTCTGGACAGATGAACTAGCCCAAGAAGTACTGACCAAAAAGGTGGAGCATCTCAGCAGACTCCACCTCCACAATCCATGCCGGAAGGAAGGGAAGGCAGTTTCCCCCACTGCAACCACTGGGGTGAGGTATGGACCCCTATGTTTGGCCCCTACTATTTAGGATACTAGAACTGTGCGTAGGAGCTACCAGAAGTACTGTACTCCATTTCTAGGATCAGAGGGGAATAGTTCTATAATGATAATAATTGTATTTCAAAAGGGGAGGGGGTGGTATTGGCAAGCCTAAGTTCCACCTGTCATCCCTGTCTCTTCTAGGGATAAGCAAGAAGAGAAACATGGATTCTTATACCCCAAGGTGAGACCGTTTATCTCCCCCAGACTGTGAAGCCCTGGTTTGGAATTCCTTTGGCTTTCCCATTCAGATCATCTCATCCTTCCTGCCTCCTTCCTGGCTCCTTCCTGCCTCCTTCCTGCCTCTTTCCTTCTTTCTTCCTGCCTCTTTCCTTCCCCCTCCTGCCTCTTTCCTTCCTCATTCCTTCCTTCTTCCTGCCTCCTTCCTGACTCCTTCCTGCCTCTTTCCTGACTCCTTCCTGCTTTTCCTGACTCCTTCCTGCCTCCTTCCTGCCTCTTTCCTGACTCCTTCCTGGCTCCTTCCTGACTCCTGCCTTCTCTCCCCCATTAGAATCCAGCAGTCAAGGTGAGCAGGGACCGATGCTTTGTCACCAAAGTAGTTCCAAAGGCCCCCAAACAAGAAGCAAACCACCCCACCAAGGTGAGGGGCTCAGTTCTTCTAAGGATACTAGATTCATCAAGGGCATGTTCAAGGGGCGGGGGACAGGTATAAAAGAGAGATGAAACAAACTCTTGTACCCAAAGGACAGTCCTGCTTGCCTAAAGACTACTATCTGGGTAATCCAGATAAGAGAGTGGTGGGGCATGACACAGCTTCTGGGAGCTCTTAAGGAAGACAAGAACTGAAAGATCATGCATCAGGTTTGAGTTTAAAACAGGAATTGAAAACCAATGGGCTGTCAGTTTAGCTAAGAGGAGCTCTGCTTGTAGTGGAAGCATGGTACAGAGGCTTCAACATCATCTCTGCCTTGTTTTGCTATGGCAAGGTTCAGAGGCATCTCCTTGTTGTCTAGAATAGAAATCATCCATCTACTATCTTTACAGATGGAAATTTGGGACACAGGCTGGTAATAAAACTTTGTTAACCCACCATGCCATGTCCATGCAGACTAGACCCAGGCCTCCCAATTCCCAGCTTCCCCTGTATGATTCTTGTCTTCTCTCTAAAGCCTTGGGGTGGGTGTGTCCCAAACATCAGCTGTCTCCATATTAAAGAGTCTTGTTTAGGGCTAAGACACACATGATAAGAGTAACGGCCAGAAGACACAACGTCGGGGGTACTGCAACCACGAATGCCTGGAGGCAAGAATGCCATGGCCAGTGTGAGGAACAGAGTGTCCAGTGACAGCTAAAGTTGGAGACGGAAGTCCATGTAGGGGTTTACAGAGCACACTGCACATTTTATTCCAAGGACAGTGGGGAGTTCCTGGAATATTTTGAGGAAGGGAATGTGCTATTTAGTTTTTAAAAGGCCACCCTAGTTGTGAGGCATGGTGGTGCATACTGTAATCCTAGTATTCAGGAGGCTGGGATGGCAAGATTGTAAGTTTAAGGCTACAGAACAAAAACTCTGCCCTCTTTTTTTTTTTTTTAAAGTCACTACAATGATGTTGGGTAACGGGGATAGTAGAAAGAGCAAGAACAAAAATGGAGATGTGAGAGAAGGACCATTCTGGTCCGGGGAGGTGGAAAGAGCTTGGATCTGGGTAGTAGCAATGGAGCTGACAGTTGTCCCCTCCTGCTTGCCCCTATACACACCCTGCTTCTAGTCTGTGAGAAGTGGGTCCCAGCCCTTGATGCTTTCCAGGGAAACAGGCCCCCATCCCTGCAGCATGGCGCCTAGGGCTTCTAGACCTGGGTTAGTTGCTGGGGTAACAACATCCGAGCTAAATGGTGCCTGTGCTGTGATGCTTCCAGGGACAGGGACTAAGCATTGCCTTTCTTCCCCAGCCCCTCCCCCCATTATAATGGAAAATCACAGCAGGAGGAGGAGCTGTATGTGGGAGCCAGGGGCTTAGGCACTCAACTCTTGGGCTGAGTCACCATGGGGAAGGCTTACTCAAACCAAGTAGTTATGTATTTGAGGTAGAGGGGCATGTAGGGAGGCATGGTGTCTCTCCAGCCTGACTTCAATTCCCTTGTTTGTTTTCTTTTAGGGCTTCTTTGGGCCATTCCCCACTGTGGGTCTCAACCTTGTTGCCGACTGAGATCTCATTGTATAAGGTCCCCTTTCCCCAGGACCCCCCTCCTTGCCCTCAAAGGGGCAATTCTTGGATGACCCAAATATGGCTAATAAAAGTTGACTTTTATGCAAACACTTTCTATGAGTCTGTCTTGAGGCAGGGCACACGGGACACGAACTGACCAGAAGTACCCAAGGGAAAGAGGCAGGGTTGAAGAAGATACAGACCTGAATGCTTGGTTTCTGTCTTGTGTTCCTTCCTTTCTGAAGTAGAGAATGTGAGGGGTGACCACAGCTGTCACGGTAGCCTTTTCCACTGGCACCCTAGCCATGATGTGTGATCTGGTTGCCCAGCCTTTCATGTCATGTGGAAATAGAATCTATATTTGCCTCCCGTCAGTTATTTCCAATCATTTCTTCCTTGCACCCATCAAATCCATTGTTAACTCATTGCTGTTCTTCCAAACCTGCTCCTATGCCTTTCTTCTTGTTTGTTTAACCCTGAGAACCATTGTGCCAAGCTCCTGTGGCTCTTTGCATTTGGTTCCTCTGTGAATATACTTTAGAATCCCAGAAATCTTGAAGGGGCTGGGCGTTGGTGGCACACACCTTTAATCCCAGCACTCGGGAGGCAGAGGTAGGCGGATCTCTGTGAGTTCGAGACCAGCCTGGGCTACAAGAGCTAGTTCCAGGACAGCCTCCAAAGCCACAGGGAAACCCTGTTTCGAACCCCCCCTCTAAAGAGTAGTCAGGGACAGTATAGATTCATCCAAGTGTCTCAAGGAAGCAAACACAGTGGGCATCCCATCCCTTAGCTCCTGGACCACATCCTCATCCAACCACTGCGAGTGGATAGTTCCCATCTCTGCTAACATCTTCCCATCCCAAGCCCTGGAGTTCTCTGCTTCTCATCTGGGAATTCATAGAAGGTACCACTCTGTGCTTTAGACTGTCCTGAAGGACCTGGGATTTAATGTTCCCTCAAGTACAGAAGGATTTTAATGCAAACATATCTGATTCCTCCATCCTTATGGACAGTTCTGAAGAATATTCAAGCGGGGCTTTGGTGGCACATGCCTTTAATCCCAGCACTTGGGAGGCAGAGGCAGGTGGATCTCTGTGAATCCGAGGCCAGCCTGGTCTACAGAGCAAGTTCCAGGACAGCCTCCAAAACAATACAGAGAAACCCTGCCTAAAAAAACCCAAAAAATTAATATTCAATATTTAATATTCTTCAGAGGATACTCAGTGACTGTTAACCCAGCATCCACCAGCCCCCAGTGGTAACCTGTTCAACACCATGCTTCATACCACAGACCTTTTCTTTTCTTTTTGAGACAGAGTTTCTCTGTGTAGCCCTGGCTGTCCTGGAACTCTATCTATAGACCAGGCTGGCCTAGAACTCAGAGATCTTCTTGCCTCTGCCTCCAGAGTTCTGGGATTAAAGGTGTGCACCACCACCTCCCACTTGGGCTTTTCTTCTTTAATACGATTGAGTTTTCTAGTTCTAATTTGTTATTTCCAGGATTATCTCACACACAAACCACTGCACCCAATTTCTTGTCTCTTTTGAGTTGGCTCCCCACTCTACCATGTGCTATACACTCCTCTAGGCCTTGTTGAGCCAGCTGTGAATACAACAAAGTATTCACTGTTGGAGAGCTTGGTTATAGATAATTTTCTAGGGAAAATTCCAAGCAATTTATCTGGCCCACAGAGTAGCCAGAATCTTGCCAATCTCTACTCCCCTTTAATGTACCATCCTATTTGCTCTAGCAACTCAGCCCTAATTGTATCGAGCAAAATGTGCCCAGGACCTATGCTCCCAGATCCTTGCACATGCTGCTATGTTTACCTATGGGAGCCTCATCCTCAACACACCATCTCAACCATATCCTGAACATCAAAGTTGCCCTGTGTGGTCCATTCCCTGTCCCTTCTAATAGTTCCATTCCTAGGAAAAAGTGTCAGAGGTTAGAAAGAAAAACCGGTAGTGGAAGTTTGAAAAAAATGGAAACCTTTAAAGATTTATATATTTTTATGCATGTGACTGTTTGCCTGTATGTATGTATATGCATCATATGCGTGGCTGGTGCCTTTGGAGACCAGAAAAGGGTGTTGGATCTCCTGGAACTGAAGTTATGGATAGTTGCAAAGCACTGTGGGAGCCAGGAACCAAACCTGAGTCCTTTGCCATCTCTTCAACCTCACATAGGAACTCCCTTCCTTTCTTCCTTTTTGTGTGTTTTTGTTTTGTTTTTCAAGCAGGGTTTCTCTGTGTACCAATCCTGGCTGTCCTGGAACTCACTTTGTAGACCAGGCTGACCTCGAACTCACATGATCCACCTGCCTCTGCCTTCTGAGTACTGGTATTAAAGGCATGCGCTACCATGCCCTGCCCAGATAGAAGTTTTTAAAAGGAAGGTAGGCTTGGCTTTTGTTGCAGAGGACCAGGAATACAACTTGGATCACACCTGACAGACAGGAATCCCTTAGTTTCTGAAAGAGGAAAGGGCAGTGAAAATTGTATGAAACTGAGGTCTGGGTTAAGGCTCAGGAAGAGCAGGGACAGTTTCCAACTAAAATAGAATCCAAGAGAGTGAAGAGGATACCAATTAGAGAGATCTTAAAGATGAGTTCGGAGGCAGAGGCAGGCGGATCTCTGTGAGTTCGAGGCTGGGCTGGACCGACAGCCTCAAAAACAATATAGAGAAACCCTGTCTCGTAAAAAACAAACAAACAAACAAAAAACAGATGAGTTCATGGACCAGGCAACAGCTGTGGCTTGAATTCTGTCTCCTCCAAACTCATATTCAAATTCTAATCTCAAGAACCTCCAGACATGACCTTATTTGTAAATAAAGCTGTTGAGTTAAAATGAGGTCATCAAGGCCAGGCGGTGATGGTGCACGCCTTTAATCCCAGCACTCAGAAGGAGGCAGAGGCAGGCAGATCTCTGTAAGTTTGAGACCAGCCTGGTCTACAAGAGCTAGTTCCAGAATAGCCTCCAAAGCTACAGAGAAACCCTATCTCAAAAAAACAAACAAACAAACAAACAAAAAAAAAACAAAAAACGAAGTCATCAAAAGGAACTTTAGTCCAAAGTGGCTGCTATCCTTACAAAAAGGGAAGTTTGAAGACAGACACAGAGAAAAGATATTAACAGTCACTAACATGTGAAAATTGAAGCATATTAATAATAATGAGGAGGAAGAAGTAAACAGCTTATACTGACGAATGATTTCTACAAAAAAAGAGGGGAGGCAATAAATAAAATCAAACAATGGGTAAATAAGTGGGTACTTTATATTTTCTGCTGCTACAATTTTCACTTCATTGGTCTTCACCTGCTTTTCTGTCCCAGGGGAGTGTTGTGAATGAATAACTCTTCTTCTGGGTGCTCACTAGGTTAGCAGGATGGGAATTACCTGAAAGGAGGTTAAAGGGGAGTGATGGGGAGAGAGTAGGGTATTCACTTCCCCAGCCCCCACTTCCCTGTGAGGTGGCATTAGACCTCCTGCCTCCTTGGCACAAGGGCAATGGCAAACACATACAGGGCAAACACAGTCATTCAATTCATAATAACCCGAGATGACCCCCACTCTACCAACAGCTAGTGGTGCCTTGTTCAGCTTTAAGCCACAAGTGAAAGCAAAGAAATATGGTCAGTAAGAGAGTGATCATAGTCAGCTTTGAGAAAAGGGAATGCCTGGTGCTCAGTGAGTCTTCTGGGGTGCTGGAAATTCTTTACTTCTGCAGTTGGGTTGCCTGGACGGCCATGAGAACTTGAGAAATTTCCCTTTGTTTTGCATGTTTGTCTGTGATATTTAACAATTTATAAACTTTAGAAGGGGAAAAAATGGGGCAAGAGGAAAGGTGGCAGGGGTATTATAGAAGCCAACAGAAGAGTTCCACAAGTGTACCTCACTACATTACATAGTTTTACAAAAGGCTCAAAATTAAATGTTATAAAGAATACGAGGCACCACTCTAAAACTAAAAATAAACTGAAACAAAAACCCTAATTATATGTCAAATTGCCAACCATAATTACACAAACAGAAGAGTTGTTTGAAATAATCCCAGGACACAGTATTCTAATTACGTATGCTTGAAAGTTATATTTAAAGGCAAATGTAGGCCAGTGTGTATGATGGTGCTTTTAATCCAGCACTTGTGAGAGAGAGGCAGGTAGATCTCTATGAGTTCGAAGCCAACCTTGTCCACATAGAGAGTTCTATGCCAGCCATAGCAAGATCCTATCACAAAAACATGTGTTTATTGTCTTATTATTTTACGTGTATGAGTGTTTTGCCTGCCTGCATGCCTGGTGCCTGCAGAAGCCAGAAGAGGATTTCGGACCCTCTGGAACTGGAGGTACGGTACAGATGGTTATGAGAACCCCAGCCCTCTCCAAGTGCAGCCGGTGCTCTTAACCCCTGAACCATCTCTCCGGCCCTCACTGTTTTATTAGTAGGGTAATATTTGTACTATTCTATGTATATTGTTATGTGTGTATTGGATTAATCATACAAGTGGTTACATTAGTGTCACCAGGAACCCAAGTTTTCAGCATAAAAATAAAGAACTGCAAGTGTAGAAAGCTCAGTAAAAATCACCATTAAATGCCAGGTGGAGGGCTGGAGAGATGGCTCAGTGGTTAAGAGCCCTGGCTGCCCTTCCAAAATTCCTGAGTTGGATTCCCAGCACCCACATGGTGGCTCACAGCCATCTCTAATGGAATCTGATGCCCTCTTCTGTCATGCAGACATACATGCTAATAGGGCACTCATCCCATACATAAAATACATAAATAAATGAATCTGTAAATACTAGTTGGAGTGTGTGTGTGTGTGTGTGTGTGTGAGAGAGAGAGAGAGAGAGAGAGAGAGAGAGAGAGAGAGAGAGAGAGAGAGAGAGAGAGAGAGAGAGAGAGAGAGAGAGAATATTCTACGTCCAGTTTGGCATTGTATTGTATTTCAGGGTAATGGCTGAAAACTGATAAATGTCAAAAGAATGAGTAAATTAAAAAAATACATTTTGCAAACTGGGAAATGTTTCAGTCAGTAATCACTACTGGAGACTAGTGACATAGCTCAATGGTATAGACTTGCCTAGCACGTCAGATGTCCT